GTGGCAAGCTTCTACATCGACCCACGGCCACGGTCATCCTCTCTACAGAAGGACGACGATGGTCGCAAGCATGGATCCCTCCTCCGTCGCCAGTCAGCATGTCGACGACGATCCGCGGACGGACTTGGCGGTTACCACCCACGAGGGCTCATCGGGTTCGAGCCCAGAGAATTCCGATCTGAGTCGTGATACGAGCGTCGGCGGATCAGATAGAGTCTACCCCATCCGATCGATCGTGTCCGTCAACCCATTCCCAATCAGTCCGTCTCAGGCCGTTGCAGCGACCAGCTCCACGCAGTCTCGAAGCGGAGCTCGATCCTACTCGATCATAGATTCCGACACCTGGGATCAAATTCGCTCACAACCCGTCCTTACCCCACCGAGCGATGCAGCTGCCAGTAGCAGCGAACCTCAATACACCCCCGCAACCTCCGAAGATGCCTCCCAACAACCATCTGAAGGCCACTCACGTAATTCAGACGCTGGGATACGGGTGCCTGTCGATTCAAACGGGGCACTGCTGCCGGTGGACAAGAACAAGACGCATGTCACCTCCCGATTCCAACATGTCATGATTCAAGGCGGACACGCCGTGATCACGGGCAACACCCCGGATACCTTCATGGCTTGCGAAGACGAACCAATCCACATTCCGGGGGCAGTACAAAGCTTTGGAGTCTTGCTTGCCATGCGAGAAGACGAAGATGGTATATTGTCGGTTCGGGTCGCAAGTGAAAATTCAGAGGCCATTTTGGACCACTCCCCCAGCAGTCTGTTCGCCCTGGAGAGCTTCTGCGATCTGTTGTCAGAGGATCAGGCGGACATCCTTCTCGACCATGTCGACTTCGTTCGCGATGAAGGTCATGACCCCAGTGCGGACGGACCAGAGGTCTTCATATTGACGGTGAACGATCGCACTGGACGCCCCCGGCGATTCTGGTGCGCCATCCATGTGATTCCAACTCAGCGAGAGATCATCATCTGCGAGTTTGAGTTGGAGGATGACCGGCTCAACCCTCTCAACATGGGCGGTCGCACCACCCCCCTGACCCAATCCGACACTCTTGGGTTTGATCCCACCCCCGAGCAACTGGCGAGCAGCACCGTTAATATCAGTCAACCACTACGAGTCCTTCGAAATGCCCGCAGGAGACGCGGTGAAGCTGCCGCCATGGAGGTCTTCAGCATTGTCAGTCAAATCCAGGATCAATTGGGGGATGCCAAAACTCTCGATACACTCCTCAACATTACAGTGGGTCTGGTGAAAGAATTGACTGGGTTCCATCGTGTGATGATTTATCAATTCGATAGCGAATATAACGGTACCGTCGTGGCGGAGTTGGTTGACCCGCGGACCACTAAAGATCTCTATAAAGGGCTGCATTTCCCCGCTGCGGATATTCCCAGACAAGCCCGAGATCTGTATCGCATAAATAAGGTTCGATTACTTTACGATCGGGACCAGCTTACTTCGCGGCTTGTCTGCCGCAGTTCACAGGATCTAGAAACGCCTCTGGATCTGACCCACGCCCATCTACGAGCAATGTCGCCCATTCACATCCGTTACCTCGCTAACATGGGCGTACGTTCGTCCATGTCCATCAGTATCAACAGCCCTAATGACCTATGGGGTTTGATCTCATGCCATACCCACGGCGACGCGGCCATGAGGGTGCCTTTTCCCATACGCAAAATGTGTCGACTGATCGGGGACACACTTTCGCGCAATATTGAGCGTCTTTCCTTCACCTCACGATTGCAAGCTCGCAAGCTGATCAACACCATTCCGACCGATGCAAATCCCTCGGGTTATATCATTGCCTCGTCCGATGATATGCTGAAATTATTCGATGCGGATTATGGGGCTATCTCGATCCGCGGCGAAACTAAAATCTTGGGCAAGTCAACTGAGTCTCATGAAATGTTGGCTTTACTAGAATTCCTGAAGATGCGTCGGCTTCATTCGGTGGTTGCATCGCATCATGTAACGAAAGATTTCCCCGATCTGCACTATCCCCCAGGCTTCAAGCATATCTCGGGCATACTTTATGTGCCGCTATCTTCCGATGGCAAGGATTTCATTGTCTTTTTCCGCAAGGGCCAGCTGACGGAGATCAAATGGGGCGGCAATCCTCATGAGAAGGAATTCAAAGATGGTCATTTGGAGCCCCGAAAGAGTTTCCAGGTCTGGAGCGAAACAGTGATCGACCAGTCTCGTGAATGGTCCGAGTCTGAAGTTGAAACTGCCGCTGTTCTTTGCCTTGTATATGGTAAATTTATTAAGGTCTGGCGACAGCAAGAAGCCGCCCTGGAGGGATCGCAGCTGACGAAGCTACTGCTGGCTAACTCCGCCCATGAGGTCCGGACCCCGTTGAATGCCATCATTAACTACCTCGAGATCGCCCTAGAGGGAGTTCTGGATACCGAGACTCGCGACAATCTCACCAAATCTTACTCTGCCTCCAAATCTCTCATTTACGTCATCAACGATCTCTTGGACCTCACGAATACCGAAAAGGGTCAGAATCTGATTAAAGACGAGGCCTTTGATCTACCTCAGATCTTCAAGGAGGCAACTGCCATGTTTGAAGGGGAAGCTAAACGCAAGGGCATCAAGTACACTGTGATCACTCATCCCGGAATTCCTCGCACTGTCCTAGGCGACGAACGCCGCGTGCGGCAGGCGATCAGCAACCTCATTTCTAATGCAGTTCAATACACAACCGATGGCGAGGTCACTGTGGAACTCTGGCGCGCTCCAGTCACCCCAGAGCCCGACGTCGTCACCATCCAGATGACAGTGCTTGATACGGGATGCGGAATGTCCGACACCATGCTCGAAACCCTGTTCCAGGAGCTTGAACAGGTTTCCTACAACGACGACGACACTTACTTCTTCGATCGCGATCCCAACGATCCAACCGAAGCGAACGCAGAAGAAGGAGAAAAGGGAGTCTTGGGCTTAGGATTGGCGTTGGTGTCGCGAATCGTCCGCAACACTCACGGTCAGCTCAGTGTCCGGTCAGAACAGGGCAAAGGCAGCCGGTTTCAGATCTCGCTCCAATTCATGACTGCAAGCGATGAGCAGCCGGAATTAGAGCCGGCTGACATTCCGGCACATACTGATAGCCCCACACCCTTCCAGGCGAAAGAAGACTTTGTGCTCGTGGATAACAGCTCAACCACTCCTCACGAGGCCCGACGACGTAGCGGCGACAGCTCGCGAGCTGGTAGTGCTGAAAAATTACCTAATCAAATTCCGATCGATAGCCTCAAAGATAAGCTTGCTGGCGTTTCTATCCGAGAGCTGTCCAAACTTGCCCAAACCGAGTCAGCAGATGATGCCGCAGACTCCTCACAGTTTGACACAAAGGTGCCCGCATCGCCCGTCACGCAACCATTTGGGAATCCAGCGATTCTCCAGAATCCCGAGCCAAAGACTCCTTCCGGTGTCTACAGTATCCTTGTGGCGGAAGACGATCCTATCAACAGCAAGATCATACAAAAAAGACTCGAAAAGGCCGGCCACGCTGTTCACTTGACTGTCAACGGCGAAGAATGCGCAGCGGCATTCCGTGCCGATTCTGCGCGCTATGACCTCGTGTTGATGGACATACAGGTAAGCGATGGCCATCACCCAATTAGATGATGTACCATACTAATCTGCTTTTACCAATTAGATGCCCATTGTCGACGGTATAAATTCGACTAAGATGATCCGCCAGCTTGAAAAGGAGTCGAACTGTTTGCTTTCCCCTATCGCACAAGCCAACAATCGAGTACCTATATTTGCAGTGTCCGCCTCCCTCCTCGAAAAAGACATGCCCTTGTATGTTGGTGCAGGCTTCGATGGATGGGTGATGAAGCCCATCAACTTCAACCGTCTCAATCTCCTTCTCAGTGGACTAGAAGACGAGAACGCCCGCAAAAGTGCCACCTATCGGCCTGGAGATTGGGAGAATGGGGGCTGGTTCTAGATTGTCCCAAGGCTTACGGCTCGCTTACCCTCCGACTTCCTTCCCCCTGTTTCTCGAACTCCTGCCGACTTTCATCTCCGATCATATCAACCCATATATTTCCGACAATCCTTCCATCTCTCTGCCCTTTTATCCTTCTATACAACGAAGAATGAAAATCTTATGACCGGTTACGATGCCTTTTGTTCCCAGAAGCATGTGATCTTCGTATCTTTTTGTTGGGACGTCGTTATCAAAGTCATAATGACGAAAAATTGGTTGCATTTACACTCTGGGTCTTTTTTTTTCTGTCTTGCCTTCTGGGACTGCTGTTACTCAAACCATATATCCTTTCCATATATACCCCACTAGTTTGGACTGGGCCTTATCATTTTTTCTGACCGTCAATGGCCGGGCTTGTTTTCTGGTTTTCTGGTTCTCGACTACATGTTTTTCGTTCGAGTAACTACTACAGCTTTTGCGCAATTTAAAATACACAACAACCATCTTTCTTATTGTTCTTGTGTGTGTGAGTGTGTATGTATACGTTTATTAGAATTTTCTCCTGGAGTCAAGGGTCGTTTTGAAGCATGCCGGTGCAATTATGGTGGGCGGGATCTGGGTTGGAGTTTTGGCGGGATGTCATTGCCATTGCTTTCTATGAGGCAGAATGTATTCACTTTGCACCACATTTAAGAGTAATCCCTTTCTCGGTATGATGAAGTTGTATATGGGATTTGAGGCTTGTTTATGGTTGATTAGTTTGAACCGACAGTGGTCGAATGGGGGGAACAGAAAACTTTTGCATTTAGTTTCGATCTAGATCATTCCGCATGATGTTCGTTCCGTTCTCACTCGGTTTCATGTAGTCGCTCTGGATCTGTATATTCATAGCGGTTCCCTTCCTCCTCTTCTCCCCCCTTCCCCCCTTTTCCAGATACACAAATCCTGTTCGTCTCGAACGTTCCAGAGGGCACAGGAGTGTTCGCTGCCCATACAAAGACACACAACCCCCTTCCCAACCCTTTTTCACTGCCCCCCCTCCCCAATTCCGTTTCTAATCCTGGGCTATCCGCCCATTGCTGATACAAACCAAAGACGGAGATACGAAGTATGGATGGGCGAGTGCCGAAGTATACAGTATGTACCTACTTCACGCAGCACAACCCAGACACGGTCTTTCTTCCGTTCCGGTTCCGTGAGGTCGCAGTGTGAGTCCAGGAAGGCCAAGTGCGTGAAGTATCATCTTATAGCGAGCGTCTTTCTTTCTTTCTTTTTGTTTCCCCCGGTTCTTCTTAGGCGTTCGGGCTCTAGGGTAGGCTTTTCCTTTGCCTCGGACGGGACCTGTCTCAGTGAATTTTCGGTTCGCCGACTCGCGAGGAGGGTCTCGGTCAAGGGGCGTTTTGCGATTCAAAGGCACCCCAACCCCCCCCCCCCCCCCGGGGGGAGGGGTTGTCGGGCTGATGGCTGGGACAGAGAAAATGAGGGATGGGGTGAGCGGTATAGTGAAGTTTCGAGAGGTTACGGATGCAGATGGCTTTGCAGAGCGAGCGAGATCGTTTATGATGCTGATGGCGTGTGATGGTGTGTAGTTTGGAAAGGTGGAATGGGCCAAGGTTGAGGGATGATGGTAGGGTAGATCTCTATTGCATATGGCTCATCTCAAGATCTGTAGACATTTTAAGCATATATGGAAATGGGGTGGATGTCATCTCGTCCTTGGCTATGTGATACATGACAAGAAGCCCCACCACCCACCAGGGTATATCTTCATCACTGGAATAAAACAAGCAGGTTGGTCTGCAAACTAGTTACAAATTCGGGTAGGGTGAGGAAATGGTTAAGGCACCAACAGTAACGAGCACCGACGGCTTCTTATACTGCGTTGCTCCATGTTCGTGGTGAGAGATGATGCTGAGCGCTGAGTGTGGGCTCGAGGGCCTCGAGGTCTTGTCGCCCGTGAACGAGAGGGTCGGTCGACAGCGTGCGGGATGTGGTTGCCATCGAATCGCCCGTCCTGGGTGACGAGGGTGCCTCTGGGGCCTTGTCCGGGCTGACTGTCACTTCTTGGTGGGTCTGGGTTGTCTCCTGCGAGCTTGGCTGTTGGCCGGACTGCGCGCCGGTGCTGCGCGCAGACCCTTGGTTAAATTGCAGGTTGTCGACCTCGGGGGAATTATCGTTGAAGCGAAGGGAGCTGTCCTCGGTGGCCTGGTGGTGGCAGACGCCTGGAGCGCTTTGAATCAGGCGAATTAGTTTCCCCAGACTGAAGAACTCTAGTTTCAGTTTGAGGACCGAGAAGAAAGCTGTCAGGGCAGAGATGATGTAGAGCTGGCCGCAGATGACGACGACTACGATGATGATGTCGGTAACAACCATCATGGTGGTCGCGATAATCAAATAGATGACCATTTTGCGTCCTTCCCGGCCCTTGATCACGATCAGAGGTTTGAGGTTGCGGGCAGTCGCCCAGACGAAGACGCCTCCCACGATTATCTCGCGTACGCAGGTGGCCGTCACGGAGAGCTTCTCGAAGACTCTGTACAGATCTCTGACATGTTCGCCGTCAGGAGAGGCGGAAATCGTGACGATGATGGCCTGTGGGAGTAGAAACACCACCGAGCTGATGACGATCATCCAAAATAGCCATCGAATCTTGCGGCCACTGGTGACGAGGTGAAGCCGCGAGTAGATGACCAGGGTATTGCCGACATTGAGGGTGGGATAGCAAATCACGATAACGAAGACCAGACCAAAGCGCGCTTGCGGTACTGCGAACCACAGAAGTGTGATGACAATGGTGAAGATGAGGGTGGCCAGAGTCGATAAGAGCAGGCTCCAGAAGTACAGCCCCCGGCGGCGCTTGAAGAAGTCAAATATCAGAAGCAGAAGCTCAAGCGAGCCAAATGCGGCAACCGCCACGAAACATGCAAGCAAGAAGGTCTTTGATAGAGACACGGTGCGTATCAGCTGAATCGTGCCTGCCATGTTTGTTTCAGTCAATATCTGATCTGGTATAATGTGCGAACATGCTCTTTGATATCAAGGAGAAATCCATCAGGGGACGGTGCGGTTCGAATAGGGATGTGGATATTATAGTCGAATCCAAGGCACTAAGGCCCAATAGAGTCCTAATAAAGAAGTCTCAAAACAACAGAGAATATGGCTTGACACCCAGGCACTACCGCGCATGATGGGTGACCCGAACTAATGGGATCATAGATTGCAGTGATCTCCATCGAGGCGCGTCAAGAGTAACCGATAAACAGGGCAGTCTGAACTGCGGGCTGATTCCTTCCATACCATGGTTCTCATGCTTCTAACAAGGGTAGCTGTCACGCTTTTCCGTAGCGATGGCTGAGGGCTTGCTTTATCCAAAGTATGGTAGCCTCGATTCTCAACCCAACAAATGCAAGCTGTGCGATTCCGACCGCCCAACATTCGCCACTTAGAAGGCTAATGGGAGTAGAGTTACGCCATCGCTTGGCTTAAATGACTGAATCTCGATGTATTGCAGGGAGGACTGAAGGTGATACTGCGTTCACAAATACTCCCAGCGTGGCGAAACATTCAGCACACAATACATCGGGACTTGACCGTATCTAATTAATCAATTGCTGCTGATACGCGCGAGCAGATGGAACCAGAGCGGAGAGCCCCCCTTGCATGCTCCGTCACGCTCTACATTGCTTCGGATTGGCCGAAGCTCAATATCGTCCCATACCGTGGTAGACGGCGGCAGTTTTGCGAGTCTGGAACCGCCTATGTGCTCGAGCTTTCGATGCGCCAGACTTTAGACAAAGAAATTGCGAGAGATTTCCAGTCGAGATTGGGCCGTCACTTGCGAGAGGCATATGACAGAGAGCTAATGTGCGCGGCGACTTGGTGGCATCGCCGACAATGTCTGGGACTACGGTAGACGTCCTCCCTCGGCTGATGCCTGCCTGGCCCCTGCTGATCAATACCGGATTCTCTAGCAGGCTTTCAGGGCCAAATGTGGCTAGCTCTGCTGTCAACCAGAGACTCAAGCTTCAAGTTCCAGGGTTGAGCTCGCTGGCTATTGTGTCGCAATGGATAACCTTATGGGTTCTTGTGATTGGGTAGACCCCTGTATGCAAAGAGGCTTAGTGTCGACCCCGGAAATCCAAGCACGCAGGAGATGGTTTCCGGCAGGCTGTTGTGATTAGCCAGGTCGACGCAAGAGACTGCAGCTTGTTTATGCATACTAGGTAGGGAGTACCTTGATCCTCGGCCGCAGGGTGGGATCTAGTAGATTCACCAAGCTGTGCATCCTAGCAGATGACAAATGGTAGGGAGAAGCACAGTTCCTGTACTCAGGCAGAATTCCAACTCAGCAAGCGCAAGGCGAGAGTGGGCAATGACAGAAGCACGAACAAAGAAAGTACACGGACTCTGGAAGGAGAGAGGAGGAGGCGAAAAGTGTCGACGATAGAGTGTGGATGGTGGAGAGGAGAGGAAAGAAGTAAAGGAGCTTCTGTCCGTAACAGGCAAGTGGTCTGTGCGGCTGCAGCTGACGTTGACGTCGTTTTCCCCCCTCAGAACTGAGGCAGCAATTCGTTCCCGCATCATCATCATCATCCATCTTCCAGCCATTCATTCTTTCAATTGCCTTTCTTTCACTCTTTTCCATTCCAATTACTATTCATCAGGAGATATACTACCATTCCCCCGTCGACCAAATATGCTTTTGACTTAGCTTCATTCCATCCTTGTTTCCCTTTCTTCTTTCACTGATCCAGAACTTGATTTAACTCTCGCTACACGAACAACACCGCCATGGTGCGCCTGTGGCCTTTCAAGGTACGTTCCACCCACACGTCGCGACTCCCCTCACTCATCCAACGACTGAGACTGACTTGCTTCGTGAATCCCCCAAACACCAGGCCGAAGACGACTCTCCAGCATCCTTCGAGAAAGCTCTATCAGCCCTATCCGAGAAGATCACCCGAACCACCAACCACCTCGACCTCCACCGACAACACGCCCGCCGCTTCAAGGCCCTCTGGACCCTCTACACCACCTTCGCCTACCTCCTCTACTCCATCATTTTGGCTCTGGTGCTAGGATGGCAGAATTGGGGGATAGCTGAATACGCCGCCATAGTGGGCGGGCCCATCCTGTATGACCTCATTTCCCACCTCCTCAACCACCTGCTCCTTTTCCTTGACCCCAAATCTAACACACTTCCTTTTTTTTCCACGCAAACAGAATTTACACCGTCCGCACCGGCGCCACACGGTACTACGACTACCGCATCACCAAGACACAAGCCCACCTCGACTCCCTCCAGAAACAACGCGACGTTACCATCGAGAAACTCAAAGAAGCCACCCGCTACAACTCCACCCAGCAGCTCCTCGAGAAATATGGCGGTGGAACCCTCAAGCGCACCAAGTCGCGAAACGGAGACGAGAAGCGCAAGTCTGACGCCTCCGCGGCCGCCGGCAGAAAGCGTAATCAACAACAACAGCCATTCGTTCAACGCACGGGGCTACCCCCACCCCCGACGGCCAATATTCGTCGTACACCACAACAACAACAACAACAACAACAACAAAACCCACAGCCCTCCACTCCTGGTCGTGGTCAGCCGCAACACCCTCCTCCCCCTCCGTTTATGATCCCAGGCCACGAGCAGCGGCAGCTGCAGCAGGGGCCGAACTTACCCTCACCGCCTGCATTCGACGAGCCGGGGTTCGCGCCCAATGCTTTTTCGTCTACCCCGCCGCAGTACATCGAATCCTCCCACTGGTATGATCGGTTGCTGGACGTGTTGCTGGGCGAGGACGAGACGCAGCCCAAAAACCGCATGGTGTTGATCTGCGCCACCTGTCGGCTGGTCAACGGCCAGGCGCCCCCAGGCGTCAAGTCCCTGGAGGAGCTTGGGCGCTGGCGGTGCGGGAGCTGCGGCGCGTGGAATGGCGAGGAGAGCGAGGCTAAGAAGGTGCTTGCGGGCATCCGGAATGAGCCTGCACTTGGTGCTGCTGTTGCTGCGGAGAGCACCGATGCCGAGGTTCAGTTGTCGGTCAGCGAGCGATCGGACGATGGGGTGATTGTTGCGGCCAGTGACGATGAGCAGGTCGATTCGGGGAGTGATGGCGTTGAGGGGGCCGAGGATCATTTGTCGGAAGAAGCAGCAGACGAAGAAGAGGAAGAGGTGAAGGAGGAGCCTGTTCCGAAGACGACTCGTGGACGTGGTAAAGCCGGGAAGAGAAAGGGCTGAGCGAGGCTCGTAGACTCCCCAGCGAGACTTTTGTATCATTTCTTTTATTCTCTTGGTATGGTTGGGACAATACATCATTCTTACTCCAGTTAGTTCGTAGCTTGCTCGTTTCACCTTTCGTTATGGACTTGAGGTACATGGCAAACCAAGTCAGCTGTATGGCTTGACGATAATAGTTATACCGAGGTATCAGATAGTTTCAAGATCACGATCATAGAATCCAGGCTTCCATTATCGCTCAGCATGCACTTGCCTCGCTACTCGGGATATTCTCAATCTGTCTCTGTCTGGTTCGGTCCTAACATGTGTATACCAAAAAGCAAGCAAAAGAAAAGGTAGTCTGTAATCAACCCAATAACCCAGGAGTCCCCAAAAAGACGGAATTCCCAACCATACTCTTTCTGATATCTTCCCAAGAAATGTACCATGTGATCCTCCGGTCCAGGTCCTGTATTGCTGGAAGTAGGGCGAACTGCCAGCTCCCCAGAGCACCCCAAGCCTCCAAAACCCATTATTTCTCCAAGAAGATTCCAATCCCCAACTCCCAAATTAGGCTTCGGCAGATATATAGGCTCATTATCTTCAGGCACCCCTACTCTGTAGAAGCTTGATGGTCTGATATGCCGCCTTCACATCCGCTTCCTCGGCGCATGAGCAACCCTCGACCACGAGCACTACCTCCCCAGCTATCTCGACCTGGCATCGATAGGTAGCATCTCCCTCCTCCTCCATCGCTGACTCCGAGACCACCACCCGCTGCGACGTGAACACCGTGCCCCCCAGCCCAGCCGTAGCAGCCATCTGCTGCGCCACCATCTTGGGATGCACCACATCCACCCCCTCCGCCAGCACGCGACGCAGGAACCAGAGCAAGCCGATCCTTTCCGCAAAATTGACACACTCGGCGAGATTGCCGTCGGAGTCCACGAAGATCGCCCCGAGGACGCTCTCGACGAGATCCGAGAAGAACTTGTCGGCGTTCAGCGCGGAGAGGGCCTGCCAGGGGTACTGGGGGCCGTGGTGCAGGGTGTCGAGGATCGTGGTGCGAAGGGTCCGGTGGCGGGTTAGCGCTTGGTCGCGCGCGAGTTTGAGGTCGGTGCCGCCGCCGCAGCGCATGAAGTGCCAGAGGGATAGAACCTCCGTGGCGGAGGAGAGGGTGATGTGATCCGCGGCGTGGGTCTCGACGTGGGTGCGCTCTTGGTTGAGGGAGAACTCCATGCAGAAGAAGGCGAGAAGATTGGCGTTCACGACGGCGTGTTTGATGCGGGTCATTTCTCCCTGGGAGATTTCCGTGGGGTGAGCGAGGAGGGCGGTTAGGATGACCATGTCTAGGACGGCGTCGCCGAGGAACTCGAGGCGTTGGTACGATTGTGTTGAAGCATCGTGCTGGCAGGACGGGTGGGTGAGCGCCTCGACGAGGATCGCGGGGTTCTGGAACGTGTAGCCGATGCGCTCGACAAGCTTCTCGTCGTTGACGGTGTGCTGTGTGGGTGACTCGGCGGGTGTGAGAGTCTGGCCTAGGTGTTCGAGATCAACTTCGGGGAGAAAGCGTCGGATGCAGGCGTGAGCTCGATCAAACCCGCCGTCAAGGTACGCTGCGCCAATGAGGGCCTCCACTACATCAGCAAGCACCTTCGATGACATGGAACGTCGACCGGCAGCAGATGCTAGTTTCTCGGAGATGAGCGGCGCACTCCACTTGCGCGGTGTGGAGACCTTGTTAATGATGAAAGCGTCCAGCCCGGCGTCAAGCGCGGCGCGAGCGAGGCGATGATTCCTGATGATCGAGTCCCTTCCCTGGGACAAATACCCTTCATGCCAGTTGGGGTTTTGAAAGAAGAGTTGGCAGGATACAGCGAACTTCAAAACCGTGTCACCAAAGAATTCATAACGTTGGTAATTCGTTAAGCCGCCGGCTGAGGGTGTGGTGATGGCAGTTGTAACATGGTCGGTGTTCGAGAAGTCGACATCTTGCAAGATTGTCTGACACAGCCTCTTCGCAAGCAGCTTCGCTTCTAGTCTATCGATGATAGCAGATATAAAGCGGCCAAAAATGCTCTGTGTGAATGAGAGCTTCTCAATAGTACATGAGTCTGCTGGTATAACGCACACTTTCGCGGAAGTGGCTGGCATATCGACCTCCATCTTTGTAGCCAACGTTTGGCGATGCAAAAGGTTTCTCCTGCGAGGGAGATTAGTACACTCGACTTTGACAACAGTCAAGCCGTCCTCTTCTGCTACAACCCACTCCCGGAAAAGCATCGGATTGTTGTAGCAATCTCTCACGACGCCCATCACGGCAGGGTGATTGTTGCGGGCATACACATCATGGGCAGACTCATTACCCTCATGGCGGAGGAACCAGCTTTCCAGCTCTGTGTGAGGTACGTCTGGCCCAAATAGCAGCACAAAATCTTGCTCTTGTGTCGCAGCTTTTGAACTAATTGCTCGAAGGAAGAGTGAGGTGATCGACCCCATATGCTCGACGGCGTCAGCTGACAGGCTTAACTCTTGATTAGGAGCCTCAAAGTTCAACGTGAAGGTGGTCTTGCTGTCCCAGAATAAAGTCATCGGGTTGAGTAATGGCAAGACTGTCGGTGTAGTCAACCTCATGTACATGTGGGCAGCGTCCCCATTGCGTCCAACAGCAATTCGAGTCTGGTGAAAATCTGGCGAGGACCATGAATACGCCCAATCAACCCAGGGATCGTACTGCTCTGCCACTTTTAGTAGAGCTGGAATATCCGCAGTATCAGTCTTCTCAAGCTCTTCTTTGCCGGTGAATGGGAGAAGATTGTCGTTCAGCAAACCGAAATTGTACAGCGCCTTGTATGCCTGAAAAGCCGCTTCTTTTCTCGCTGCCCGCTCTGTTTTCCACCATCGCTTGCCGTCGGTTCGACGAATGTTCGGGTGAACACACGCTGGAAGAATCACTGTTCCTCTCAGCAATCCTGTATCGTCTATTTCATAGGAGTACTCAGCCCGAGTATCGACATAGGGCTGATGGGGCAAGACATCGCAGAAATGCGTCAAATGTGCTACAGCACCATCTGCCGTGAGCACAGCACTGGATCAGATGTTAGCTGAATAATACAATAGTAGGTTCTGAAAGGGTGCATACCCGGTAGACTCAACGACAAGTCTTTCCGTCACTTCTTCGTTGAGCTCCTCAAGGGCACACGCCTCCAGCAACTTCCGTTCATCATCTTCGTAGGCTCTTATCATGGCTTGCTCAAGGGACTCCCATCTGCCGGTTCCAGCAGATTCGTCATTGTCTGCGAATATGATGGCATAGGTTGACTGCTTATGTCGTGCCCGCCCACGACGCTGGACAAACGACTTCAAATTGGGTGGCTTGTCATAACAAACCACCACGCTGCATGCACTAATGTCGATACCCTCCTCAAGCACATCGGTTGCGACTATCAAGTTTGTCTGTCCACTTTTGAAGTCACTCAGGGTTTCACGCTGCAGTCGAGGATCCAAGAGCTCGCCCAGAACGTCTTTGCTGCCACCGTTGGACCAGCCAACATAGGCGGCAGAGCGAAAGCGACCCCTCGTCGACGGGTGGACTGATAGCAGTCGCGCCAGCACACTAACTGTTACACGCTGCTTTGCGAAGACCAACCCTGCAAAGTCTGGGTGCGCTTTTTCGTGCAGGAATCCTAAAAGAACACTCAGTTTCCGAGATATTCGATAGTCATCCGCGTTGGGCGATGTGAGTGTGACTTTCGGGGCAGGGAGCTGCGACAAAAATCCAATCAGATAAGCTCTCTCCTCATCTGTCCATCCTGACGCTGATTGAGAGTCCTCCGACTTCGATCTGAGTTGTTCATACGACGCAGCGATGTAGTGATCAACAGCCCACTCCCCGAGTTCCTCGAAGATATGTGTACTCCGGGCCACGAATTTCCTCAGCTGCTCGCGACAAAAGGTCTTGCCCGAGAGAAGCACCTTCTGCAGCTTCGTCCCATTTTCGGGACTTTTCCGCAGCTGCCTGACATACGGGTCAGTTTCGATTTCGAGAGCCTGCCAGGCAATGATAAGGGCTTGCAATGTCCTGCTTCCAATTTCCTCTGTCTCAGGATCAAAGGGAGTATAGAACATTGGACGCAGATGAGGGCAGTGCGTGAACCGCCGCAGCTCGTGTCGGTGCACACGGGGTGTCTTGCAGATTGCATCCAGATTGGCCTCGATCTTCCTATTTTCATGGGCGGTCAACACGAAGAAGACAGACCAACATGTCCCTGGCCACTCACTGGAGCTCCTCCGGCTTAGATCTCACAATCGGGCTCGCCGTCAGACCCAATATCTTCGGGACTGCATTGTAGCCGTACTCCGCAAGAGCCGGATGATAGAAGTCTTGCATTATCTTATTGGCCGGGTGACGACGCATGCAATGGTGGGCTAGTATTGTTCGGAATCCATGAGCCTTGCCCTACTGCGGCCACTAAGTAAACCCGCGTCGCTCACTTACCTTCGTCAAAGATCATCAAACTCAGTTGACCGATCCTCACGAACCCATGGCTCATAGCATCGGCCAACACCGCATGTGTGGAGAAGACCACCTGGACGTCCTGAAGCACGGCATCCCAAACGGCCTGGTCTGTCCACAGCTCCACTTTATCCAGCCCGGTGAGGGTTCTTGCTCTCATGGCGGGAATATGCTCTGAGATGGCTTGATGCTGCTGTTGACACAAAGTAACAGTGGGGGTCAAGAACCACATCAACTTCTCGCAGTACGCATCAGCTGCACTGTGTACATCGCAGAGGCGGTGCTGTTCTTCTTGTTCTTCTCACCTTGTGTGGATTCCTCTCCAGTTCTGTCTTGATCCGCAACAAAGCTCTATATAGTTATGATTAGAGTTCAGAGCATACATGCAATGTGGGGGCATAGTAGCAGAGCATACATATGCGTCTTTCCGCTGCCAGTACCCATCTATCACAACCCAAGACGCTGTTAGCTTTTTCCGTTTGACCAGTTTGCCACAGTTTGACCTAACCGTAACGATGATATTGCCTTTCAGACTGGCCTCATACATCTCCGTCTGGTAACTCCGGGACCGGTACCCAACGGGGTCATCGGGCCCTTGAATCATAGTTGGGCCAGCCATGTTGTCGAGCAATTCTTCAACATGGGGAGTTTGAGTTGGATGGTATGCGGCATCCGAGCACAGAAGACTCTCATCTGTGGACTCGAGCGTTCCGACTGAAAGGAGGGGCACTGCTGGAAAGTGTAGGGTGGGGGAGGAAGATAAACAATCCATGGGTGTGGGGTAAGCAAACTTAACAAACCCCGTCACTAAAACCCATGGATACTCTTAAAGATCATATCCAAGCCAATGGGCAGTCTCTGTATGTGAGAAAAAGAAAAACAAACCTCCTCATCGATATATAAAATGTTCCAGACCCAGCCTCTATAATTTGAATATTGAGTCACTTCAGCGGACGAAAAGGCACCTCCAGGTTCAGAGAAGTCACTCTTCCAGCAGCCTTCTCTGCCACCGCGTTCTCACCCATTTAAGTCAACTTGAGGCGAGAAAGAGACATCAGAGAAGCATCAATGATGAAAGTCTTGGATTACAAGTGGTTAAAAGTGATGCTGATGAGTTCTGCAATGTAGAAAACATACATCAAGGCATGCTAGCGTGGTTATCATTTTCTTCCCTTCTAGGTGGTTTGAAGTGATAAAGTAGACAGAGAATCTGAAGAGTGAACGCAGAACGCCGCTCCTTCCTGAGCCAGAGATAATAATACCTAGATACATGGCGCCTTACACCGAGGAGGATACATAGAAGGGTGGAAGAAAAACTGCAAGCAAGAGTAATCGGCATGGTTAAACTGGAGGATCAACGGGGGCAAAAAAACAGCAATGATATAAAGTAGTGTTGGCAATCAACATGACGTGATGCCTCAGGAAACAACCGGCAAGCCGTGGCTCATTTCCGTCTTCGGGGCTTCGGACGCATCTGGTTGAACCTCATCAGCGCGCGGGCGGCGAGCTTGGAAGTTGTTTCCTAGAAAATTGGCTTCCTCGTTCGGGTGTTTGCGCATACCCAGACCGGCCACGGCGATGCGATTCAGCGAATTCATGTCGTCATTGGGTGCAGATGCTTGAGGTTGGGCTTGAGGCTGTTGGGAAGGCATTGGAGGAGCCTGGGCAGGTGCCCCTGTGGATGCTGGGCCGGTGCCAGGCAGAGACAGGTCCGCTCGTGGCTGGCTCAGATCAATGTTGCCGGGCAGCTCGGGGATCTCGCCCTGCGAGTCCAATAGCCGAGATTGCAGATTGATGATGTGTTCTCGCAGCTGGTAATTCTCGGCCTGAAGGGCCTTCAACGTCTCTGACATGCCATCGAACTCCTTCACTTGTTCTTCCAATTTTCGGATGTAACTCTCTTTCCGTTGGCGGAAAGCTCTCTGTTATAGTCAGCCTTGCATTCTCCGAATTCTCATCAAGACGACAAGGGCTTACTCACTTGAGCGGCACGATTCTGCGCAGCGCGCTTCGAGGTTGACAACGGTCGCTTCCCATAGGTCTTGGGCGATTCTTGGCTCGTAGGCTCGGGTTGAGGGGGTGTTTGCGGGGGACCACTCAGCATTGCAGCGCCTGAAATGGCAGGGTCAATGTTATTCTGATCTCGCGGACTCGTGATATTGGATTGCATATGCGGAGGCGGTGCTGTCTGCGGTTGCGGGCGCGGTTGCTGTGGGTGAGACATATGTTGATGAGCAGCTAGCAGCTGGTCATGCAGCACTGGTACAGATGTAGCATTAGTATTCGAGTCTCCCGAGTCAAGGTAACTAGTTTGGCGAAATTGGCCGTCAACAGACGCGCCCGTCGAGCCGATACCAGCTACGCGAGAATTTTTTCGGTCGCCATAGCTCATGTATCGACTCAACTCTAATACCGGGTCAAGAGGTAAGAGCTTACCCTGATCCGCATGATCCTATGAGACAGATCAATGTTAGCATCATCACCACTGTTGATCATTCAGGTAATCGTCGCGACGCGACCGGGGAGGCGCTGAAGACAGTCGCGTCGTCGATTCTTGGGTGTAGCCGCCATCGTGGGCCCAAATCGCAGCCGAAGCGACCGTGAGAACGAACAGAACAAGGTCCGATGTCTACAAGCAGAGCACTCGGGAACGATCTGGGGCAATGGGTGGATGGGACAAACGCGATCTGATGACAAACCGCGACACGATTAGGCTGCTTACCTGAGCAGAGGTTTGCATGCTTGGATGCGGCGCTGGGGCTAGTGTGGGCTGCATCGAGAGTATAGGATTCGAAAACAACGAGGACGCGCCCAAACAGAACAAAAGATCACCAATTCGAGTCGGGCAAGGGGGCCGTCGAACAGCTCAGCCTGTATAGAAGTCCTGGTCTCTTAAGAAGGGAGAGAGGATGTAGAGAATGACAAGGGAAACGGAGGAGAGGGAGAGGATGAGGTAAGCAGACGACGCGGAGATAGCTTTCCTGGGAAGTGGAAGCTGGCGCTAGTAAATACTGGTGAGGTACGAGTTATGTCCGTTTCGCTTTGATAGTCCAAATGCTGACTATTATTGGCGTTGAATAAACCTGGGGGAAAGGGAAGGGGAAGGGAGGACTGATCTCGTAAGCAAGTGAGAGTGGAAGGGGGGGGGAGGCGATTAGTTAAAGTATCAGTCAGACGGTGACGTGTAGGACTGAGGGAGGGAGTGAAGGAAAGGAAGGGAAGGAAAAGGTCACCAACGATTGTTGAACACCTCCCCCCCGGCAGTCCCCCGGGTAGGGGCTGGAATCCGGTGAATTACCATCGCCTCAGGTGTCCAAGCCACATTGCGGCACTCAAGACTCGGAGTGCGTACGCCCGGAATAGACTAATTTCCTATTTGGTTTGTTTGGTTCTTGGCGCGATTACTCAACCTCCGACAATGACTTATAGGATGAGTAGACGACTCCGACTTGTATGTACCTAAGAATTACTAGTGACTACGAAGTATGTGGCCTGGTATCTGACTACTGAGATATCAGCCTGCTTCATAGGCTCATTCGATGATTTCTCTCTATTGTAACTGTAACTGTTCTTGTTCTTGTTCTTGGTTCGCGCCAATATTGCTGACAAAGCCGCCCATCATTCCCTCGGTCTGATGACTGATCCGGCATGCATGGGCTGACTCATCCACAGCCGGCGTGTTTCTGGGCTTGCATTAAGGCTGTGGATTGTCACAATGCAGAGGAGATTGACAAAGTGGTGCAACCACCCTGAACCAATGGTCACAGTCGCAAATGATGGCGTTATCCTTTTCCAATGGGCACTATTGACGGGCACTCTTGGTGTGATATCTCCGAGGCTTCCGTCGGAGTTTCGGCATTGGAACGCCGATACCTGTGGATCCAATCACCATCCTCATTCATTGTCCTTGCAGTTGATAGGTGAAGATCGCCAGCCAGCGGATCAACTAAAACTGTTTATTTTCAAATGTTTTTGCAAATCCAGCACATTGCACATATAACGTGCGAATACTGTTCAACAATGTAATCTTCATATACAGCAAATTGATATATACAAAATACAGTTGATCATGAAACTAATAAACAAAGATATGAACTCGTCACTTGACCTCAACAAGATATAAACGGTATGTGAACAAATATCGTTCATACTCGGTAACTGTCAGGCAGCACAAGCATCATTGTACACAACTGAATCTAAGGAACGAAGAAGAAGCCTCCCTCTCACTGCTGCTTCTTGGCGTTCGAATCTCTCTTGAGCGTCTTGATGATTGTCGCACCGACTTGAGAGGATTCCTTCCACCCTTTCTGCCGCATCCAGAACCGCTCCGCGGGATCCGTGTCATGGGTCGCCCAGGAACGAGCATCATCCTCCAGGGTATCACGAGTCAGCTGAGAAAGCTGCTCCGATGGGTCTTCTTTCTCGTCAACATCGATCTCATCGTCACTGCTTCGGGCTCCAACCGTGGACTCAAGATACCTCTTCCGCACCAGGTACCGCTCGGTCTTCTCTTTCCGCACATTCGGGGGCTCAAGCTTGGCCATGGCCGCTCGCACTGCATAGCGCACGATGAGATAGATATGCTCGCAGAAGAAAATAGTCAGAAGCAAGGCCCATCCTTTGATCGTGGTCGGCTCGCCACCGGGTCCCTCGTGGCTAGTGCTGAACATGTACGCAAGTGCTGCAGTAGTAATGCTACCGACCCACGACAGGAACCCAAGACTGTCTAGCCAGGGGCCAATTGTCTCCGCGCGTTGCGGCCAGGGTCTCTTGCACTCGACACAGATCTTAAAGAAGTCGGACCGGAGTTCAATCCAGTTGTTGATCAAGAAAGAAACGGGGACCAGCGGCCAGACCGGAGAGAATAGAGCCAAGTAACCAAATTGAATGCACATTTCGCGCAGATCGTCGGTCACATCATAGTCAGACAAATCGGCCTCATTGCGGACGCGAATGAGGAACTTGGTCTCATCGGGGTGGTCGTCGAACAAAGCCTCGGGCGATTCCTCTTCTTCAGAGCTGGAATCTGACTCCACCTTCCCGTTCTTCTTGCGAAGGTAATCTTTGTATTCTCGTAGAAGGCGCTGCTTTAGAAAAGGTACGATGGTCTCCATGGCGAAGCCAACTACTTGAGCCGTGACGGTGAAATAGATGACTTGCTTCCGTAGGCGGTCGGGGTCCATGCTGAATTCAGTACGTGACTTCGTCGCAACCTCTTTCGAGACAAATGGACGAACAGTCACCTGAAAAACGTCAAGGTGTGGTACAATTCGGCTAGCGAAGGGCACATAAACAAAGGCCGTCAAAAACACAGGGAGGTATGATGTGATGAAGTTGATAACGAAGATTTTTTGCGTCAATGCGACATCGTAAGCTTGTTGCGTTTCGTAGTTCTCGTAATCGTTCAGCTTGGTCGCAACCGACACCAAGACCGTACTCATCGTCGGGATCAAGGCCGAGAGCAGGATAGTGGGAATGAAGACCTGATCCGTCAGCTTGATTCAACGAGGGAACACCAGCTACTAGCGAAGCCTACCAAGTACGACTTGAGTGGTCCATTATAGATCTCAGATATAAAGATCTCGATGGCGAAGCATGTCGCGATGATAAGTCCCAGAGCGATGATGGACAGCAATGCGAAAGGGACCTGGAGCAACTGTCTGCACATGCGCGTCGTTGCTGGAAACACGCCCTTGATTTCCCCGGTACTCTCGTCAAGGATCTCTCTTTCTGGCCGAAACTCGCGCCGTTTCTCGCGGACGGCGGAAACTCCTTTAGTCTGCCATCGACAACTCAGGTCCTCCTCCTGTCGTTTCCAGTATTCGATAAACACGATGCACCAGAGGCAGTTGACCACGGAGTAAACGATTGAGAAAGACCCAATCAAAAGCCAGCAGGAAAAGCCAAAGATCGCTGGAAATAGGAGGAATCTGAAGTAAGACTGAAGGAATGAGAAGTAAAAGCCGACCTAGAGTTCCGCACAGTTGTCAGTTCCCAGACACTGTCCTGAGATTGAATCCGTTAAGGGTACCCACACTCTCTCCGAAAATATTCCGTATCTGATCTAGATCCTCCGGGGACAGGAACGTCTTCTGGCTCCAGTCTTTCATGCACTGCTTGTTCATCTCCTCGTCATGCAAGGGAAAGATCGAATCGACGTTCTTCCACTCGCCATGTTTCGGGGTGATACCAGCGCCGCCAGCCTCTTTGGGCACGGTCATCATGTGGTAGATGACGCGCAGTCGCTCCGACTCGGACTGCGGCTCGGCCGAGGATTCTGACTCGGGCTCAGTGTTGCGGACGCCATAGAGCCAGTCGCGGATTCTGAAATAAGATTGAAGACGTCACAGTAAGCAACAAGTCCTTCGTAAAGAGAGGCGCGGGTAGAGGACTCACCGAGACTGATACACTGCGCGTTGGAGACTCTTCTTTCGCGCGGCGCGGACAAAGACCAGCAGAGATGTTTCATCGCCCTGCCTCACTTCGGTTTGCAGTCCAACCTCAAACAGCTTATGCAGCAGTCGTTCTAGTTGCTCCGTAGTCTGTACGATGTCTATACTGGGTCAGGGCGGGGAAACTCAATGGTAGTAGCCAGCCAGGTACAGTGGCGCCCTTACCGTTGTCGCCAAAGTTATAACGAATGACGTAGTCGACATAGTGATTATTATGCACGGGATCGCGAGGAGTTGTGGAAGCCATATCACAAGAAGATGCAAGCTTTCAAGTCATCCGTGCGATTGAATAGCTAGGGTGATGAGCTCTTCTCCCAGAAATGGCCGCTGCTTGAAGCTTTTATCAGGGGATGTTTTGGGGGGGGTGGGTTTCGTCCGCCCGCGATGACGACGTCACCTTCGAAGCTTGACTGTAGGGTTAGCCCTGGGCGGTGGCTTGGACCCTCCGCCTCCGTCACTATGCATTCATCTGCCGTCTGGATCGACCCGATCGTCAATTGTCTAAGATCTGGATTCTACTCTCGTAGTCGCATGATACAAAGAACTTCTTCGATTTCCACAACCCACATACTAATTGATGAGTGCCAAGAATTCTATTCTGCATAGCGCTTGAAAGGTAATCCTCACTGAGGGGGTATTTTAATGTATGTACATGTTCAGCGATTGAGAAAATACATAACCAAGGAGTCGAGTTCCAGTCCTTCCTGCTGAAAGCCCTGGAAAAGCAACTCTTCTGTAAAGTCGACCAGCGCAAACCACGACACGACCAGCAAACACTTGTGACATAACGTGTCAGAAGGGCATTGGTGTATGCCCTCCCAAGGCCAGATAATTCACAAACCAGAGTCAAAACTCGCGCGATCAGATTCCTTCCGCAAGCTTGTTCAAAGCGGGTCCCTCCATCATCATCTTCGTCCACTCATCCATCGCTTTGGCGCCCACCTGCTCGTAGAACTTGATGCTGGGCTCGTTCCACTTGAGGACGCTCCATTCGAGCCGTCTGCCGTTGACCTCCAGGACCTTAGCCGCCAGGTACTTGAGTAGCTTGAAGCCGTATCCGTTGCCCCGCGCGCTGGGCTGTACGTAGAGGTCCTCAAGGTAAATGCCCGGAGCGGAGCGCCAGGTGGAGTAGTTGTAGAAGAAAAGGGCCATGCCCACTGGCAAGGGGTTGGGCTGCTCCGCGGTCGCAGGAGGGATGACGAGCGCAGTGTAGACAGAGCCTCGCTTCGGAGTCGAGTCGGGGAAAGACAGAGTCGCTAGGAGTGACTCCTCGGTGGCCTCGACTTCGTGGAGAGCCTTCTCGTAGTCGGCAAGCTCGCGGATGAATTGAAGGATGATGGGGACGTCTGCATTGCTCCGGTCAGTAAGGATGTAGCTTGGCATGGTCAGTGAGGGAATCAGCAGGCCTACCCTCGGGCGTCGCGAGACGAATTGTAGGTTGGGCAGACATTGTGCGGAATGAGGAGTGCAAGATAAGGTATCAGGAAATGATTGAATTGGGGAATGTAGCTATGAGGAGAGCCAATGTCCTTCTTATAGTGTCTCCGACTTCCCCGAATTCGAAGACCCGCCTAGACCGATGGGTCTTTTCCCCACCACAGCCGTATAGAGGCTGGCTCTCTTTGGCTGGAACTCCACGCCTTACGGACTTCCACGCCTTACCTTTGACTTTGCCGGTGTCCAAAGTGACTCAGAGAGCGCCGCAATTATGCGCTTAGGAAGTGATTAGAAGGATAAAGAAGACAAAGGGTGAGGGAGGTATAGATGTGTGTTTTCGAAGAGATATATGCGACTATGTACAGTTACAAATATGTGCTTGAAGGCTACCAGAGCATTTATTTGGAGGAAATGGCCGACATCCATTTCTGCTCGTCCGTTCTGTGACAGGTTAGCTGATGATAAAGAAAGCAAGAGGATTACATGATACTAACCGATCAAAGTGCAGCAGCATGCCAAGAACAGGAATCAGCTGCTTCTGATAGTTCTTATCCTTCTGCTCCAGGAACTGGAGAAGAACATTCTTCAGATAGATGTAATCAATGGACCCTGCTCCAACTCCAGTGGGCGTGCCGCTGCGTGTCGATGGACTGTGCTCCTTCGCAATTGGGGAGGTAATGGTTCTTCTAGAGCCAGAATCGATAGAGGACCGTGACGACTGTGCAGTGTGACCGAAGCGACCTTCATCCGGGAGCAGCTTGTTCGATTTACGCATCTTCTCCAAACGGGAGTTTGTTTCCTCGACGGAGCGGCGCAGCTCGGCTTTCTCCTTCTCAAGGTCGCGCACCTGCTTTTCGCTTTCATCCAGCGAATCGCGCAGACCTGCCATGGCCTGTCGCAGATCGACAAGCTCCTGGGTCGTCTTCTCAGATTCAGCCTCCAGTTGATCCCGTCTACGTTTCCAATCCTTCTGGGTTTGCTCCAGTTCTTCTTTATCCTGATCTGCACTGCGCAGAGCTCGCTCGGCTTCGCGTAGCTTACTCTTCAGGTCCTCCAGCTCACGCGCACGGCGTCGACCCTGAGCACTGGCTTCATCCTCGGCGCGATCTCGCTCCTCAATGGCGGCTTCCATACGTTCCTTGAAATCGCGCACCTTGGCATCGGTGCGACTTTCGATGTCGTTCAGAAGACGCCGCATGGTCTCTCCTTCGCGAGTGCGTTCGCTCAGCAGCCGGTGAGCATCCGCTAGTTCTTCTTCGAGACTTTCGCAGCGTTCGCGAGCCTCCTTCATCTGCATACCCAATTCAGCAGCTTGGTCGCGCATACTGTTCATCAAACTTTGAGCACTAGCGTGCTGGGCAGTCTTAAGTTGAATCTCCTCCCGCAGGCCTTGGAGTTCCTTGTTAATCTGACTGGCCTGGGACTCGCTCTCGCGGAGCCTGGCGCGGGCGGTTTTCAGCTCCCCCTGAGTCTTAGACAGTTCTGAGGTGACCTTCTCCTTAGCCTCCGTAGCTTCCTGCTTCTTACTCTCCGAGTACCTCAGGTCAGATTGAGCGACTGTCAATTTCTCCTCAGCTCTGAGCCTACTGTCGGTTTCCTGCTTGATCTTATTATTGAGGGTCTTCACTTCCTTCTCTCGCTCAGACACCGTGCTCTTCAGGGTCTTGAGTTCGGCCCGCAGGTCATCGTGTTTGCTTTCCAGAGTTCTTAGTTCATTCGTCTTGCTTGTGAGTGAATCCTTGGTGGACTTGAGCTCTGAAGATTCGGCGCGCAGTTTCTTCAGCTCTGGCTGGAGTTTCTGAAGGGTCTCGCGCAAATCCGTGATGTCTTTGAACCTCGTGGCAGCTAATTGTTGAGCAGCAGAAAGCTCAGTCTCGAGTGTTGTGAGCTTGATCTTGATATTCTCGTACTCCTCCTTGAGATCATTATGCGCTTTCTCCGAATCCGCACTTTGAGACGCATGAGACGCGATGTTCGTGCGCAGATCCGTCAGCTCCTTCTCCAGCTTAGCAATGGATCCCTCCAAAGCTTGCTTCTCCGCGGTCAGCACTTTCACCTTATCCTTCGACTCCACATGCTCTTGACCTATGTGAAGCAGGTCATCGCGGAGGGACTCGATCTCCTCCTTCAGGTCTTCCTCGCCCTTGAGTTTCGAGCTAAGACGGTCGATAGCGGCATCCTTCTCGTCCAGCTGCTTCTTCAGTGTATCGATACTTTCTTCCAGCTCAGCCACCTTCGCTGTCAATTGTGCAGAAGCAGGTTCCGCGCTTGGCGACGGATCTCGGTCAGCTTCCGTTGCTTTGCTAGCCTCTTCGCCGCCCTTAGCACCGCCAGCCCCTCCCTTCTTCTTTTTCTTGTTCTTCTTTTTACTACTTCCCGCAGCGCTTGGTGGGTTTGCGGCTGGCTTTGCAGTCTCCGTAGGCTCCTGCTGAGCTTCAGTGGCGCTAGAGCTGGGAGCTAGGCTCTCACGAAGTTCATCGAAATTAGCTTGCTTGCCGCCAATGATTTGTTCCTTGGTCAATTGCCATGTGACATTGCTTTCCAAGTTAGTGTCGAGAAAGTCAACGACGTTTTGTAATTGCAGGTTGTTTTCTTTCTTCTGCTCAGCGTCGGCCTTCAGTTTCGTCATTGCCTCTTCGCTCTCCTTCAGCTGGGATCGAAGGCTGTCGACCAGTCCCTGCAGTACACTGAGGCGTTTCTCATTAGCCTCCTTCATCTGCTCCATCTTTTCCAACTTGGCAGTGAGATCGGCATCCTTTCCGGCAGCAGGGGATGGCGAGGCCTGAGCTTGCAGTTTCTTGATTTCCTCGGTCCGTTCTGTCAAATCAGACTTTAGTTTCTCAATCTCCGCGCTGGTCTTCGACGCCATTTCTTCGGACTTCTCAAGCTTGGCTTTCAGATCGTCAAGCTCTCCTTGCTTGGAAGACTTCAGCTTCTCGAGTTCTGTGTCCTGCTTGTCCTTGAAATCACGCAGTTCTGTGAGCTCTCGGGTTGCGGATTCTAAGTTGTGAACCATGCCCTCGGTGGACTCACGCGCCACTGCTAATTCACGCTTCAGCGACTCCATCTGAGTCTTCATGGACTCAATTTCCTCCTGCTTTTCTTTCAGCTCTGACTCCAGACGGGGGATCTCGCTATCGTAGGAGAAGAACTCTTCACTATCACCTTGATGTTCAGCCGACTTCTTCGGTGATGCCGTGGTCACTGCAGTGTCCGCCCTTGTAGACTTTTCCTCAGACTTCGCGACCGACTCATTGGCGTCCGAGGCTTTCTCTTTCGATTCTTTCTCGGCCTTGAGTTGCGCAACCTCATCCAATGCAGCCTTGGTTGCCTTTTGAGCCTCTTCAAGTTTCTTCTTGTAGTCGTCCCTCTCGGTGGTCACACGCTTGAGCTCCTCCAACACCATATCTCCCTTCAGCGACAGCTGGTTCAAGTACTCGGTCAGGGCTTTCGGTTCGCCGATCGAAGTCAAGGGGGTATTTTCACGAAGAGCAGCTTCAAAGGGTTCGATAGAAAGGACTCGCGAGTGTGCCATGCGATAGGCTTTGAGAAGCTCTAATGATTACCAAAACACCACATTAGTCTGCGTCGTCAAAAAGCTCCCCCGCGTGTAATGCGCTGCATACCTTGGTAACGGGGTTCCAACTTGGCCAGCCGCCGCAACTTGACCCGAACCTCTGGAGGCAGATCCGAGGTGGAAGAGGACTGGTTGTTGTTGCCTTCCGCATTTGCCGGCGTGGACTCCTTCTCCGTTGCGGGCCCCTCCTGCCCTTGGCCCTCTCCGGCTGCAGCATTGTTGCCCTCCGGAGCGGCCTCGGAGCCTCCTCCGGCTGCGGCCTCAGGTCGCGGCGTTCCCGATCTACTCGAGGAGTCATCATCCCCAATGGCGAACTCGGGCTCGAATTCATTGGGGTCGGGGCCCCGGACGGGGGTGCCGGTGTTGCGGCGCGGGCGGCCAGAGCGGCGGGATGGGGAGGTGGTGGTGCGGTTCGAAGGTTGGCGGGCGGAGTTGGAGCGGGAGATGGAGGTTTGGGCGGTGCGTTGACGAGCTTGCTCCTCGGCAATCCGCGAGTCGATCGCGTCGCGCAAACGCTGTGTTATCACCAAGACGCGGTATGATTAGCACGAGCAGGAGGTGCACGAGGGGTGTGCCTGATTCGGAGCGGGAGACGATATGAGGTGTTGTTACCTGAAACATGGCCGAAGCGGGCCTGTGAGCCAAGGCCACGGCAAAGTTGAGAAAGGAGAGACAGAGGAAGAGAATGCGACCAAGGAGGATAATACAGAGGAATAAACGAAAGAGAGGGAAGAAGGGGAGTAACAGCATGTAGGGACGGGCTGGGGAGATTCCGCAGCAGGCGGCGGCGGTGGAGGCTCATACGCGGCAGTTCCAGTTGTTCAATGGGCTTTCTTGCTGGCACGGGCGGCCAAGGCGGGCGGAAACGGGCAGCAAAAAGGAAGGGTGATTATGTGCCGGTTCGGGGTGACAATCGCAGCAGGGCAGTAACTTGGACATCTTACTTGATGTTTGGGCTTTTGCATGAAGAGAGAGACTTGGGTTCTACGCAGAGCTTGCATTGGCTCTTCGAGATCATAACCATTAGCTCTGGGAGTGATAATAACTCGATATGAACCTTTCCTATCACGGAATATATATTCGTTACGAAGCTCGAAGTCTTTCCAGGTCGACTCCCTGTCGACTCCTGGTCATGATTACACAATTGGATGAAGATAGTTCTTCGTAGCTATTGAGAGGGGTGAGAATCGTCTACTTCATTGCATTGCCATACCTGAGAATAGTAACACTGAGTTGAGCAGTGCCTCAGGTAAGAAATAATGAGTTAGTAACTCGTAGAAGTCTGGACCATCTTCGAGGTTCATCAGAAACATGGACGGGGCGCTGCCACTAAGACCAATGCGGTTAAGGGCGGTTCTTCCCTTCCTTTCCCTTCTTTTCCATCTTGTGATAGACCAGCCACAACCAAGTCCCAGCCCACGTTGTTCTTGACTTGCTCTCATGTCGCGGCCTGCGCTGCATATCTATTCATCACCTGCACAGGGTATAATCAATCTTCAGTTGCTGCATTTGGTAGGCCGAAAAAGGCCGAAGTCAGTAAGTTGGGAACCACGGGCATAGCGCAGGTGGTCCTCGCTACCTATCTGAGACTCCATCCGTGACTAGTCCTACCCCGTACCTTAGCGGGCCGCCGCCATCCAAAGCAGGGAAGTCTGATGGCATCATGACCAACGGCGGAATGTCCGCTATGACCTTGCTTGCTTCCTCGAGCTTGGACACTTCTCTCCAACATGTCTTTCCTTCTGCCTCGTCGACTTCCACTTCATTCCTCGCAAATCCAACCGCTCCGGCCATAACCGCCAGCATCTCCCTGGTGCCCGGCTTCTCCTCTCATCTTCCGCCCCCGCCAGTACCCCCTCCAACTCCGACAACCATGGTGGGGTGGATTGGTTGGGTATTTTCCGTCCTCTTCCAGGTCATTCCAGGTGTGCTATACTGGATTGTCACCTTCACGACAATTACGTTGCCAACATGGCTGTTCACGCTGTTCTCCATGAGCTTGACCTTCACAATGAATTTCACAACGCTGTGAGTGGTTGACCTAGAAGAGCCCGATCTCGATTCAGGCCCTGACAACACACTAACTCAATGCCTGGTGCAATCATAGACTGCTCATCGCGCTGGCCGTGGTGTCAACCATCAGCTGGTTCATACGATACCGCTTCCTGAACATGTACAGCCGATTGCCTCCGGAGCCCCAACGCAAGGAACCCCAGCTCGACCTCTTCCCGAACATTCAAGAGGAAGACTCCAAGCCTGGTCTAGCCAACTACTTGGATGAATTCCTCAGCGCGATCAAAGTCTTCGGTTACCTGGAGAGACCGGTTTTTCATGAGTTGACGCGAACAATGCAAACCAGGAAGCTAATCGCGGGCGAGACGCTTCTGTTGGAAGAGGAGAAAGGGTTTTGTCTGGTTGTCGACGGATTAGTACAGATTTTCGTCAAATCAACTCGGGAGGGGGAGTCGGCTGAAGAAGAAGGAACGAATCGCGCGTCGTCGGACGAGGATGACCACAACGTCGATGGGAGACAAGGCTACCAACTATTGACTGAGATCAAGAATGGCGCCTCGATGTCGTCTCTGTTCTCTATACTATCACTGTTCACGGAGGATGTTCAATTGAGATATGGGGATAGTGCTGAGCCGAGCTCATCTGTCCTAAGACCTGCTGCCTCACGTTTGCCCGACTCCTTCCCGGCTAGCCCTCAGCCGCTCGATGCTTCTCCGCCAACTCTTCCCAGAGACCGCAGAAGCTTTACCTCCCATATCAATGACAGTGCGGACTTCTTGCCACCTGTGCCTCCCTTACACCTCGGAGAAAGTCACACACCTCCCACGCCCAATACCCAGGATGCCCCATCAAGCACAAGAGCGCACCGAGGCAAGCATGGTCAGAAGTCGGTTCACCCAGATATTGTGGCGCGAGCAATGGTCGACACAACCATAGCAATTATACCCGCTAGTGCTTTCCGCCGTCTGACCCGGGTCTACCCCAAAGCGACCGCACATATTGTGCAGGTCATTCTCACGCGGCTACAAAGAGTGACATTCATGACAGCTCACAATTATCTGGGTCTGAACAATGAGGTGCTGGGAATCGAGAAACAGATGACCAAGTTCACGACACATGATTTGCCGAACGAAATGCGAGGGGCAGCGCTGGATCGCCTCAAAGACAAGTTCATCAAGGAGCGGAATCGCCTGGGCCCGGAAGAAGTCACGAAAGGAATCGCCTTGCACAATCCATTCTCGGGTAGGCGAAATCGATCAAGTAGTTTCCGAAGGAAAGAAGCTGTGCTCCACGCAAAACTGGGCGTATCGCGCCGCCCGACTGCGGCTGTGATCCAGAACAACGCTCTCAGCGATCGTGAAGCTGCAGGTGTTAGCCCTGGAGACTTGCTATCTAGCATACAGTTCTCGCGCTTTGGGTCTAGGTATGAAAACTTTGCCCCAAAGTTGCTGAGCCCACTCGCAGAGAAGGAGCAGTCGCCTTTGCGGTCCCCATCACCCATCATCGAGCCCATGGGATCTTTCTACCGAAAGGAAAACGTGGATGAGGATGCTCTGTTCCGCGAATCTATACTAGAATGCATCATGAAGGGTATCGGCTTGATAGAAAGTACCAACGGCCTTCTCCGCAAGAGCCAAAACTCAGGCGACGCTTCTCCAAGGCTTCTCTCTTACGACTCGCGTCGCCAGAAGGCGGTGTTTGGCAATAATGCTTTTGGTTTCATTGATCCTTACGAAGCCTCCGTGGATGATACAGAGTCAATGATGTCGATGTCCGTCACAAGTGCTGGTGGCACGTCGCCAGTCATCAATCTGAGGGAAGAGTTGCGAAACGACATCGAGATTGTTTACTTCCCTCAAGGGTCCGTGCTGGTGGAGCAAGGCGAGCGCCATCCAGGCTTGTATTATGTGATTGATGGATTTCTGGATGTGGGAATTCCTGTCAGCGAAAAAGAAGATGATCTTGTGGGATCTTCCCGCCCAACGCATGCGCAGCCTCGCGAGGAATCCTTCCCAACTCTGAGACGGACTCAAACCAACACTTCGCGCATTTCAACCACAAGTTTGGGAACGGGCACTACTGACTCTAAGCGCAAGAGACAGCCACGGAAGTCACTGTATATGATAAAGCCTGGAGGGATTCAAGGCTATGTTGGTGCCGTCGCATCCTATCGCTCGTACACAGACGTGGTTGCCAAAACGGATGTTTACGTGGGATTTCTCCCGCGAGCTGCTCTGGAGAGGATAGCGGAGCGGTATCCGATCGCTCTCCTGACGCTGGCTAAACGATTAACGAGCATTCTCCCCCGCCTACTCCTTCATATTGATTTCGCACTGGAATGGGTGCAGGTTAATGCGGGTCAAGTGATATATCACCAGGGCGACGAAAGTGATGCCATTTACCTTGTGTTGAATGGCCGTTTGCGGTCGGTCCTCGAAGGTACTGACGGAAAGGTGACGGTCCTTAGCGAATACGGGCAGGGAGACAGTATTGGTGAGCTGGAGGTCATGACCGAATCGACCCGTCCGTCATCTCTACATGCAATTCGTGACACTGAACTGGCCAAGTTCCCTCGAACCTTGTTTAACAGCCTGGCGCAAGAGCACCCCGGGATTACCATCCAGGTATCTAAACTTATTGCACAACGGATGCGAGACCTAGTGGAGCAACCGGTGAAAGAACAGGGGATGGAACGAGGCAATGCCGGCACCATCAAAACAGCGTCTTCAACTCTCAACCTGCGGACTGTCTGCGTCTTGCCGGTGACAGGCGGAGTTCCTGTCGTTGAGTTTGGGCACCGCCTGCTGCAAGCCTTGCATCAGATCGGGGTGACAAACGGCGTCACGTCCCTCAACCAAGCTGCTATTCTGAATCACCTGGGACGGCATGCTTTCAGTAAGATGGGGAAACTGAAGTTGACACAGTACCTAGCGGATCTAGAAGAAAAGTATGGAATGGTGCTCTACATTGCTGACACCACCGTGAATGCACCGTGGACGCAAACCTGTATCACCCAGGCCGATTGCATCCTACTGGTCGGTCTTGCAGAGTCCTCGCCCAGCATTGGTGAATATGAACGATTCCTGTTGGGCATGAAAACAACTTCCAGAAAGGAACTGGTGCTGATACACGAAGAACGGTACTGTCATCCCGGACTGACTCGTCAATGGCTGAAGAATCGTGTGTGGATCAATGGAGGTCATCACCACATCCAGATGCCCTATCGTCTCGCGGCCGAACCTACGCATTCTCAAACTAAACGCCTGGGAACGGTATTGAAACAACGAGTCCAGGTCATCCAAGCCGAAATTCAGAAGTACACATCCCGCCGTATACGCCAGACGCCCCTTTATTCGGCCCAGACGCCATTCAAGGGCGATTTTCATCGTCTGGCTCGCCGACTGTGCGGTCGTTCAGTCGGGCTTGTGTTAGGTGGTGGAGGCGCTCGAGGTATCGCTCAGGTGGGAGTCATCAAAGCGCTTGAAGAAGCCGGCATCCCTATCGACATAATCGGTGGAACCTCCATCGGCTCGTTCATCGGAGCTTTGTATGCTCGAGATGCGGATGTCGTGCCTATGTATGGCCGGGCCAAGAAGTTTGCCGGTCGTATGGGAAGCATCTGGAGGTTTGCGCTGGATCTGACTTATCCGACCGTGTCCTACACGACTGGACACGAGTTCAATCGCGGAATCTTCAAAACATTCGGCAACAGCCAGATTGAAGACTTCTGGCTGGAGTTCTACTGCAACACGACCAATATCAGCCGATC